CATGACAAACCATCCTGTCTAGTCCATTCATGGCTTGCACGCAGCCGCCTTAACATTGACCTTTCCGTGACGGATCACAAGATGCACAAGAGACAAACTGCCGCGAGAAAACTCTGGGGACATGTAGATAAAGGAGCGATGGATTACTCACGAATTCTTCACCCTCAGACCCGTCCTGGGTTTCTTTGCGGGCCGCAGCGCAGGCGTCCCTGCTCTCGAGTTCGCAGCCGTAGAAGCAACGTCCGATGCAGGAAAAGTAGCCGCCGTAGGTGATGACTGCTGCTCTTCCAGTTCAACATGCGACCTCTTCCTTGATGCGCGCGTGCTCCGGCCTTCGGCTGAGACAGAGGTAGCACGCGTTGTCGTCTCTGGTGCTGCTGAGCTCATAGGTCGCGTTAAAGGCGCACATACCAGCACCTCTTCCACCTCCACGGAAGGCTCCTCCTTGGGATACGACTCTCTGGTGAAGCTCTCGGGGAACGGCTTGTTATAGTTGGCCGTGATCTTTTTGGCGCTCTGTCGCAGGCGATACTTCGGGTCATTCTCATCAATCCGCCCAACTTTGCTAGGGAACACAACGCCCTGGACACCCGACTTCGACCCCTTCTTTGAGTTCAGATTTGGGAACAAAGGCGCGTCGACGACGGCAGGCATTTCATATGGATATCCGATAGCGGGATCCAAGGAATCGCTCTGCCTACCCGTGGGTGAGGCCGGTGATGGGAGGGCAGGTGAAACATTCCTGTTCCTCCTCACGTTGATGCGGCGACGAACCGTGATTGGGTGTGGCGCAACGGCATCACGATTGCCGCCCTCGACGCCATTACCAGCTCCAATCGCAGCAGAATCGACCGCCGCGGCAGGAGAAATGATGGGCGCTGGGCTGACACGAGAGGGCGAGATCGAAATGGCAAAGCTGCTCCCTAGCCCATCTCCATCATACACGTCTGCTGGTGGTGAGAGCGATCGTGCGCTCGACAACGACGACGAGCTTGAGATGGAGCTCGCCCGCCCCCTCTTCTTCGGCGAAACTGACTTGGCCTTTCCATTCCCCCCGTTGACGACCATCTTTGCCCTTGCTGATTCAGGTTTTCTTGGTGATCTGTGCTTCTTGCGGACATAAATTTCTCGGATTTTACCCTCAGCTTCCTGCTCATGGTCTGGCGGACGCTGCTCTTGTTCCGGTTCCCGTGATGCAGGCGCAAGCGCAGACGCGAGTGCAAGCACAGGCGTCGTAGCAGACGTCTTCAAAGCCAACAAGTGCTCTTGCTCCTTTTCCCCTTCTTCTTCCGGGTCCCGTTCAAAGTGAGATGAGGAAAGGTTAAGAGGTGGGTCAGAATGAGATTGCTGATCTTTGTACTCTTGCTCTTCCTTGTCAGCTTTGCCTCCAGTGAATGAAATCCTGGGCGCGGGGTTAGAGACCAACTCCGGCTGAGGTGCTTGTTGTTTCTGTTTTTGTTGTGGTGGTGATGGTGGTTGCGGGGATGGTGGTGGTTGTTGGTGTGGAGGATTAAGAAGTTGAGGGTCGAGCGGAAGATGTTCAAGAGCAGGCTCAGATGTGGGTGCCAATTCGGGGTTGGGTCCTGCCACTGGCTGTTCAGGCTGTTTTGGCTCAGGTCCTTGTTCAGGGTTGGGTTTGGGGTGCGGACCGGGTTCAGGGTATGTTGGCTGGTAGTGCTGAGGCTGCCGTTGCTCCTGCTGGAGCTGGAGCCGCTGGCGGTATTGGAGATCCTGCTGATTGTGCTGGTGCAACGATTGTTGCTGGACAACAAAAGGCGGTTGACGGACCCGCTCCGGAGCATCTCCATGACTGGCTTCCTCTTGCTTCACATCACCGGATCCAGCTCTTTGCTGCTCAACCGCATCACGATAGTGTCGCACGGCGGAAATGTCTAATGTGACTAGATGGCCGTACGAGGCCCGCTGGGGCTTGGGCGGCGCCTGGCCCATGGCCGTCATACCCTCAAAATAATTCAAGCCCATGTTTTTCCTCTTCGCTTCCGTTTTCTTTTGGTGGAGCATCCGGGCAAATTCTTCGAGCATCCCGGCATCTGCAGTCTGCGTGAAAACCTTCTCCGCAATAACCCGGAACCTTGAGTTGTGTCGATCCTCCTCGTAGAGCGTCTTGAGGGCGTACGCCGTAGGATACCGGTGATGCGCAACGGCCTCTTCCACCGCCTTTTCTATCACTGCGTCCATGAGCTGCGTCCGAGGATCCACCATGAGCCCGTGTGAGGTGGCTAGGGTTTGAGAAACTGGCAGAGGGCGGCGCGTCGAAGCCGAGAAAATAGGGGCAGGAGTCATCCTTTCCGATCCCGTCTCATCGGCGCCCGTCATGATGCTGCCGTTCCCACTTTCCTCTTCATCTTCAGTCTCGTCCTCCTCAGGTGCCGGAGTAGTAGCTGCGGGAGCCGGCGCAGGTGCTGGGGGCACTACCGGCCGCTTGATCACGATTCTCGTCGTCTTGAAAGGCTTCGACTCAGGCGGTGGTGGTGGTGCAGGTGTAGCCTTCTTGAAGAAGCCCGCCTTGGGCATCGTCCCCAGGGGCGCCATTCCCTCGACAACACCGTGGCGCACCAAGCCGGCGTCGGCAAAGCTGGGCTTGTTCTGCACGGGTGGTTCCAGCCAGCGATCCATGAACGTCTTTTGGCCTTCTGTTCCCGAGCTCTTACTGTTGCCGCCTCCGCCTCCGTTCCCTTTGCTCTTTCCGCCGCTGCCGCTGCCGCTGGCGTTGCCGCTCCCACCACTCCCACTCCCACTCGCGCTAGCACTGCGTTGCCCCTTAATCGAATCAACAGAGCCGAATGGTATTTGGCGTGGACTGGAGTATCTCGAGCGCGTGCTTCTCGTACTTGGTGAAACCATGTGGTATGGCCAGAAAGACAGGTCTTTCCTTGGCTGTGTTTGGTGAAGGGATGCGCGGGCCGCAAGCTGGAGGTGGTAGGCAAATCGGAATGTGGGCTACGAGATTATCGAACGGACCGCGGGTTCGCCCCCTTTGCAAAATCCCAAGTGCTGAAAGGTGTGTTTAGGTAGCTTCGATGGAACCACCACCCCCGGAGTCCCTTTCGGTGTGTGCACTCGCGCCTATACCAGCTACTTAGTATCGCCGCGATAAGGAACCGATAGGAGGCTGTGAAAGTATTACCTGCTCTGTGCCCAAAATAAGAAATATGGCGAAATGACCGCGTCTGAAGCGGTGGCACGCGTGCAAAATGGTAGGGATTTACGGGGAAGAACAAGGTGAAGGTGGGAAAGAGGACGACAGCTGGTGTTGTTTGGGGGGTGACGGCAGGAAGGGGGCCGGACTCACGGTCGTAAATAAGTCGACCTAGGTAGGAAAAGGAGGGATGCTTGGGATGAAGAGGCATTCAGTAGAGGGGGGAGGAATCGAAGGTGCTGCGGGCTGGTGCTTGGAGCGAACCCCTCAGCGGGCTGTAGTGGCCAGCAGAATGACAGATTCAGGGGGTCTTCAACGCAGTTGTTGTCGTAAACAGCCGCTAAAACTGAGTTTCAGCTGACTGCCCGGTTAATCGATTCCTTCCCGAGCAGAACTTTGGTTCACTGGATGTGCCCTACAACACCCGGACCCGAGTAGGTGCCGATGCGCAACAAGGAAGTTCAAGATAGGTAGAGGCCGGGGCTCAATCCAGAGTGTATTCCCAATAGCTGAAGCTCTTTGCCTTGGGCCCCCAGCTCGATATACCTTGTCGTTCACGTGGGACGTGAGGTGAGGTGAGGTGATGGTGATCTGTGATTCATAGGCACCGTAACCCAGATTCAGAGATGCCTCTAGGAGACTTGTTGTTGACGTCCCCTGACAAGTTTACGTCACGAACCTTGCGCACGCATCTGGACGATTCAACCCTTTGTCATATGGTCCCCAACCGGCACGTAGGTGGTCCTGGTTTCGTTTCGTGACAGCGAGTGCTGGGTGATTGATGGTCAGGCTGGATACCTAGACGTCCTCAGTTGGCCGCTTGAGCAACACGCAAACCATGGGTTGCACGATGCTGAGGTTCCGGGCTCTAGTTTGCTTTCCAGCGGGCTACTGCTGTGGAGTTAGTAGGGTAGTTGAAGTTCAAGTTGTTGTTGTTGTCCTGGTCATACGCTGCTGGGCTCGAGGAAGAAAACATGAGAGAAAAACGGTTGCTAGGAGCGCGCTAACTTGAGTAAATGTGGTAGGTTCTGTTTTCCTCTTTTCAGTGTTGGTATTGTGGGTGTGAGCGAGAGTGGGATAAGAAATGGAATGTTGACGAGCGGTCCTGCAAGTCGAAGTGCTGTTTTCTGACCGAGTCGGATATAGAACGCACCTGATCAATACTGGTGTGGCCAACAGAACACAACTGTCCATCGAAAAGCAGCAACCCCCAATTGGAATTTGACTGGAAGCAACTTTAGACGAAATGGCCAAGCGGAACACTTTTGCACAGTCTTTGGTGACGGAGCTCCGAATTTCGCACATGAGTGCCTATTGCATGGCAAGTGCATCAGCCATAGCCATAGAGGAAAAAAAACATCGATTGAAAGTATGTACGCATCCGTATACATAAACATAATACTGGCGCTGCCTTTCCCAAAAACTAGACATAGGTACCGTAAAAGACAAGGAACTGTATGATGTTACCATTAGATTAATGATTTGTTTAGTCTCTTGTTTTGCTTTCTCATTACTTATTGTTCAATCGCTTTGATATTTCGAGGACTAACCCAGGATTATGTATTGACCCATCGCTTAGCGGACGCCATCCTGCTTTGTACAGTATTGATAAGCTAAGGAAGAAAAAAAAAAAAAAAAAAGAAAAAAAAAAGAGAAAGGGTTGCAATGAGGAAGGTTCGTCACTGGGATGAATCCTCCCACCTTCTTTCGGTCCCCTCCTGTCTCTGATGGAACCAGTTGTCGCTTGCGGGTTACCCCTCGTAATACCACGGGGATGCAAAGCGTGCCGGACCAAATGTTCCATCCAAGGACCAACAACCCAAAAGATGCACCGGAATTAGCCAGGGAAGAGGCAACTTTCGAGCTAAGGTAGCCCAACTTTCCACATTAATCCATACATCAGACTACTACAGCCAATCATGTCCAAACTGCCCATTTACTCCTCATCGGCCTTCTCCCCCTCCTTCTTAGCGGCCTTCTTCTTCTTGTTCTTGTTCTTGCTGCCAGTGTTCCTGGAGAGGGGCTGGGCAAGGATGGCAAGAATTTCCTCATCCTCAATCTTCTTGTCGGTCTTGAACTTGGAGAGATCGAGCGCAGGGGCGGCGCCAAGCTTGGTGAGGCCGTTCTTGGTGATGGCTATTGAACCAGTTAGCTAGACTGCTTGATTCTAGTAGTCAAACATTCGATACATACCAACAGTGGTAAGGAGTCTGGCAACAGGGGAGTTGTCCTTGTCACCAACAACCTCGTAAGCGCGGAACACGTTTCCACGGACGCACTCAATGACACCAGACTTGGCATCACGCTCGTCCTCAAGCTGCCTCAAGCTGAAAGGGAAGGTACCGAACTTCTTCTGGACCTCAGAAAGAAGCTTGCGCGAGCTGGGACGCTTGAGGGCATAGGTGGTGGTGGTGCGGCGGTGAAGGGTGGTGCGGTTCTCGAACTGCTTGACCTTGCCGGATCCCAAGCTGACGCCCATCTCGACACCCCAGACCTCGCCAACCTCGGGGACACCCTCGCCCTTGGTGTTGTCGCCAGGAGCAATGACGATCTTCTTCTTGCCCTCAATCTCGTTGCGGTCGAAGAGCCACGAGGTGGTGCTCTCAACAAGGTTGCAGTCGTAAGCCTGGACAACCTTCTGGAGAAGTTCGGTGATCTTGGCCTGCGAAGGAGGCTTCTGGGAGGCGGCCTTGGCCTTCTCCTCATCGGTACCGGTAGCGAGGAGGCCAGGGGGAACCATAAGGCGGAGGAGGAGCTCGTTGGCGTAGTAGTTGGCGAGCATCAGGTCAGCATTGCGGCCCTCGATAACATCATCGGTCTGGTCCTTGGCAGGGGCAACGACGGTGTCGCAAACTATGGAACCGAAGCCATCGATCTGAGCACCGAGCTGAATCTTGACGGGCTCACCGGCCTGGATCTCAACAGCGGCCTCCTTTTCGTCCGAGGTCAAGGGAGTGTAGGGGGTGACGAAAGCGGCGGGAGAGACGGTAGTGGGGTGGGAGAAGCCCTTGGTGATCTTCTTGCCGCGATAGACCTTGGCAAGCTCCTCCTCGATGAGCTTGTCACCCTTCTCGCAGATGTCGACAATCTTCTCGCCGGCAGCAACGAGCTTGGAGACCTCAGCAAGGACCTTCTCAGAGATCTGAGCAGCGGTCTTGTACTTGGTGAGGGTATCCGGGTTGTTGAGGGAGTAGTCTGGCAGCAGGGTCAGCCTATGAGAAGCAGGTGGGCGCATATACAGAGCAAGCCAGCAACAAGCAAGCGCCCGAGCCTGTGTGTCGCAGGCTCGGGCCGGCTTTCCCAGGAACGACGAGGAACAAGTTAGGAGAGTCTAGACGCCAACCTCTCAAAGTGCGTAGCTGGAGGAGGGAGGAAGTAGAGGACTAGAGGGAGGGAAGAGAAAAGCTTCATGCTTGTAGCTCAGCTTCGTTTGCAACTAACCGATCTCCTGCTTGGTAGTTTCGGACGCCATTTTGGGCAAATGTACAGCGATAGACTGTTTACTACTAACTAAGGCTTAGAATAAATGTGCGGCGTCAAAGATTGGGCGGATGTTGAAGCTACCTACCTTGGGGTGTGGATGGTGGAGAGTGGAAAAGAAGGAGGAAAAACAGCAAAGTCGGGAGCTTCAAGGTGGACCTGCTTGATGCGTTGCGATTTTGCTTTTGCTCGTGGATTTTGTGAAGGCGGGGGAGGGGGTTCTTTCTGGATCTGGGTCTTGTGCTCGCCCAGTGCCCGGTGCTCAGTGCTCACGCCTGCTGTCATTGGATTGAAGCCTGTGTGCTCCACTGCCTCTATGTACGGGATCCAGCCAAATTCAATGCATGACGATGCTCTTTGCGATTGTCATTGCGACCGCGACGGTCACTTTGGCGGGCTTCTTCGTTGTCACAGAGGAGCGCATTCACATCGCATTCTTGCGCACTCTGACTGCCTTTCATCAGTCTGGGCCAATTTCTTGCTCCGGGATTTCCAAGTCCACAAACGTTCACGGTTCCTGTACCGGCGCAAGTCCACGTTGACGTCCGTCGAGTTCTGTTGCCGTTTTGGGGCAGGCCCGCGGCAGCGCAATGGCACGGCAAAAGAAGCCTGCCGGGACTCTTTCTCGAAAGTCTTGCCAGTGCCATCGATGAATGACAGTAACACGGGGGTTCAGGCGCGCCAAGAAGCAACTGCTCTGGTAGAAAAAGAGATCCGCTCTGGCCATGAACTGACAGGTCCTCAATACCTCTTCTGATGAAGTATTGGCGCCAGTGACTGCGTACCCAGTACTTCCAGAGCGACTGACACACGCCCTCCCTCGGCTGTCTGGGACACGGCTGTCTTCTGCTGTTGTTCCATTGGTCAGGAACAGCACTGCAACGCTAGGTCGCTCTCACCTTTGGCATCCAACTGTCAGTGAAAGATGCGCCGTGCGGTACCAAAGTTCAGTTGCCTCGCTGCCACTGCCTCCCGTTGTACCGACCTGACCTTACTCGAGCACACTACCTCTACCTCTACCTCTAGTAGCCCGTCGTGGTGCATGCCGCAGCCCAGCCTCATCTCTTCCCTCTCTCAAAAATTGGAAGCTGACAGAAAGGACAACAAACACGCCACGGAGAAGCAACAGACGATAGACGAGAATTGGCATAGCTTTAGGCTGCATCGCATCACGGCGACCACGAAACGCGAGAAACAAGACGGAACATCGCCAACCAGCTGCCCTTTCTGCTGGCTCCAGCGCACGACAGGATTTTGGCAGAGGTTACCTCGAGACAACGCGACCTGTCCAGTTCCTCAGTTCCTCGGATTTACATCAACATTACCACGGCGACCAGAGCTACCAGTAGCTAGCTACCTAGCATTGACAACCACCATCCATATCGTTCATTCCTTCCTCTATAGTCGAAGACGCGACCGACCGGTACGGCGCCGCATAGCGACTGCGACTCTCCATGGCCGCCTCGCTGTCTTCTGCCTCGGCCATGGCCTCTGGCAGTGCCGGCGCTGAGGCTGGCGCTTCTTCTGCCGACGCCTCGTCTTCGATCAATGCTTCCGGAACGCCTGCCGCCTCGGCTTCGCAGGCCCCCTCGGCAGCCTCCAAGGCCAGTAGCCCTCAAGATGGCGCGACGCCGCCCGTCATCCAACGCGACAAGGATAGTTTGAATAGGGTCTTGGTTGACCGTTTCGTCACGCGCGACATGATTCACGCCGCTGCTCTGAAAGATTCGCAAAAGGCCCTGAACCAGGACATGAGCAACCGGTTGGCACGGGTCGACCAGTACAAAGCTATGACCAGTCGCGATAGTCGGAACAGGGTACCTCCAGCTCAGCTCTACGGCCAGGGTTACAATGGTTACGGGAACGGGGTGACAGAAACAGGCGGGCCCGTCAAAATTATATACCCTTCACAGAAGCCTCGGCCGGGCAAGCGGACGACACCGCCGCTCAAGTTCAGTCGCAAAGATCTCAAGAAACAAGCCGAGCAGCATGAGGAGCTGGTACCCATCAGGATAGATGTTGACTGGGACAAGGTGAAACTGCGTGACACGTTTACCTTTAACCTCCATGAGCGCCTCATTCCTGTCGAGGTCTTTGCCTCACAGTTAGTCGAGGACATGGGGCTGAAGCCGCCTATGGACAAGCACGTTCATGAACAAGTGGTCACGCAGATGGTGGAGCAACTTCAGGACTTTTATCCCTTTGTCCATTCAGAAGAGGACGCCTTGGACCCTGAATTGCCCTACTCAGCGTACAAGAATGATGACATGAGGATTTTGATCAAGCTGAATATCACTATTAGAGAGCACACGCTGGTGGACCAATTCGAGTGGGATATCAACAATCCCATGAACTCACCAGAGGAGTTTGCCGCGAGAATGGCCGATGAACTATCTCTTTCGGGAGAATTCACAACGGCCATCGCCCACTGTATCCGCGAGCAGACGCAGCTCTTCACCCGCAGTCTCTACAGCGTAGGACACCCTTTCGACGGGCGTCCCATCGAGGACCCAGACCTCACGGCCGCCTTCCTCCCAACACCGATTCCTTACACGCTGCGACCCAACCAACAGCAAAAGGACTATGCCCCCTACCTGTACGAGAACACCGAGGCGGAACTAGAACGGACCGAGACTATGTTCTCGCGCGAGCAACGCAGACAAAAACGATCCGTCAACAGGCGTGGTGGGCCCCAGTTGCCCGATCTCAAGGAAAGGCAAAGGACGATTCGGACAGCCATTGTGTCTTCAGTCATTCCTGGCGGAGTTCTGGATATCGAAGACAGCCGGCTCTTCAAGAAGACAACGGGACCAGTGGCGACTACTGGTGGTCCGGGACGGGGCAGGCGCATCATCCGAGACGGAGACCTTTCCGATTCAGAAGACAGTATGGACTCCGCGCCAGACTCACCCGCCATGTCGGTGCCTCAAGGAGGAACCGCACGAACGCGTGGAATGCGTGGGGCCGCCACGGCCGCTGCCCAGCGCATGGCAAACATCGGACGGTCGGAAACCCCTGAGACCATTGTGCACCATCACGAGACTAGGATGTCGCGTAGGTTTGGCAGGGAAGCGACACGGGAAGAGACCGAGGAGCCTTTGCAACAGCAACACATTGTTACTCTTCGGGTTCATCCCGCTAGGCTACGGAGAATAATACAAGGACGAGACAGCAGGACGAAACCGCCGGCGCCGGCTCCGTCTGGTCCTGGGACGCCCGGTAACCAAAGAGCCTCAAGCATAGCACTCCCTGGCTCAATGGGTCCACCGCCCACTACTCCAGCTGCTGGTTCACAACACAACCTAACCATCAAGGTTGCTACGCCGCCGACCTCTGGGGCTGGAGCTGCGGCTGGTGGTGACGATGCTATTGTTGGTGCTATACCGGCTCTTCCATCTCCTGCCAACGGAGAGGCGCTTCCTCCATCGGAAATACCCTCCCAGTTCACACCTGGTCAAGGATCGTTCGTGGTACGCAGACAACACTGACATTGATCTTTGTTTTTCTCTACGCATTTTTGTATAGCCCCCAATATCAGAATGGCTCAATAAACGCCTCGAAGCGCACCAGAAGTACCCAAATGACTCTTATGACTGCATAATGCGCCACAACGCCGTGGTGATGGCCTGGGACGGCGGCAGCGGCGGCAACGTGGTGGTCAAGATCGTGCCGAAAAAAAAAAGCTCAAGAACTTCCGCCCAACGCCTAGTACATGTGGCTTCCAAGAACTCAATGTCCCAACGGTGACGGCACGATGTATGTTGTAAGTCCTGTCCTGGCTTGACGCTGCCCGGGTTCAAGGCGCACTTGAAAAACTGAGCTCGTTTGGAAAACAAGAAGGCAAAGAGGACTTGACGAGTATCAGCAGCAGTGGGTCGTTGGTAGTGCGAGCGAAGCTCAAAATAATGCAGCCACTTAGTATACTCTGGCCATAGCCGCGGGATCAGCCGGCGATTTTCACCTTCAAGGAGAACCACAAGCCCCGGCTATAACAAATGTCAGCACCCAAAGACAATAGGACGTGATCCTTGTGAACGTGTCCCTGGCTCCCTGGTAAACAACAACCCGCCCCTCACAAAACGCAAGAGGAATCGACAGCAACGAACCCCCTGACAACAAATCAAAACAGCACAAACAGGACGCTTAAGATCTTTATGTCAATACCAAAAGAAGCCGCCATCGCTCCAACGCCTATCATTCCTGGACTCAACGTACCCAGATATGGTCCTCGAGATCGACCTTGACATTGACGTCAACTCCGATCGCTCTCTCACTTGTCGCCGCCACCGCCACCACCATTATCATCAAGCCCCGAGTGCACTACACGTGTAGAACAAGCATGACAGTTGAGACAAGCGTCAAGATGAAGGAGGAGGACCAACTTGGACCCATGTTCCTCGCCCTGGAATGAGGTAAAATGGATGGTTGCCGAGGCGAAGCGAACAGATTGGGATGGGAATGCGTGTTGGGGGAATTGAATTCGGATTCGGAGCTGTGAGCTGTGAGGCAGACATGCAAAGGGTGAAGAGCGAGTGACGGCGTGAGGGACGGGAGCTTGTGTCAGAAGAGCGGAGAGCAAATGAGAATAGAAGGAATGGGACGGGCGATAGAGGCAGAGGAGGGGGCCAGAAAAGAGGTAAATTTGGAATCAAAGAAGCAGTTGGTAGAAAACAGCGGCAGTATCTTGAATGAAGAGATAGCCTGAGCACCGGCATAAATGGAGTAACAGATGGGGGTTTGGGTTCAAATTTCTGGACATTTGGGGCGACAACAATAATCCAGCCCGTGATACTGGTTGATACATTAGGGTTACTGTTGGAAGACCTGTTACATCCAGTTTACTAAGTAACCGGAATAGGAGATGTGATGTCCAACGTACAGCACAGCAATGAAGTACGATACGAGAACCACAAAGAATGATCTAGTTGATGATAGGGTGACAGGCAGGCTTGGTATATGATAATACCCATCTCTCTCCCTCGGCACCCTCGTATTCCTTATGTTAGACACGGACAAACACAATCAACGAAACATAAAACATAATGAAAATAGCTCTGAGTGGAAGCTACATTTTAATAAACTTTCGACTTTTGGGCGTCATTGCCATCCGCCTAATAGATTAATCAGCCCACCATACGCAGTCCAGTCCGGTCCAGTCCAGTCCAGTCCAGTACATCCGTCCCTTACATAAAAACGAACATAAAGCAACACCCTAAAACCTAGCAGCCAGTCCATCCATCCATCCATCCATCCATCACACACGCGCGCCCCCAACCCCGCTCTAGTCGCCGTACCAATGCCACCCACCCATTTAAAGACATGAGAAGAAGAGAGATGGTTGTGAAGAAAATAGATTTTGGAGGTGATGGGCAGTAGTGGTAATAAACATAACCTGTCGGATAGAGGTAATGGAAGAGGGGAATGTAAGGAAAAGAAAAAAGTGTGAAAAAAAAGGGAGGCCAAAGCTTGAAGCTTATTAGTGCAGCTATGTAATTGGTATTGTGATGATGCGGGTATGATATCGCTTAGTAGCAGTAGTATCATCATGAGTGGAAAAGATCCCAAGCTCTTTCGCAAAGCCTGATGAACTCCTCCTTCTTCGCCCTTTGTGTCTCGGGGCTATCTCTTCCTTCGCCGAACGGCCCTGACCTCCTTTGTGGCGCCCTCCCATTACCGAGCGGGGGGGTCCCACCTTCCTCGTACTCGACCCGCGACCTCCTCTTAGGAGCGGACGACGAGGGAAGTGTGCTGCTATGCATGTTGCTGCTGCTGTAATTATTGCCGGGAGTATTGTTACTGGCGCTTCGGCTGGCGTCGGTCATATGATTACTGATATGGGAGGGCGGGCCTCTTTGAGAGGACGATGCGTGCGTAGAAGGCAGATATGTTGGCGGTGGTGGCGCGTGATGATGCGCTGGGCCGTTGGGGGGAGATGGCGGTGTCGGGGGTTGGTGTTGACTGCTACTGCTGTTATAGTGCACATACTTGGGCAGTAATTCTGTTCGGCCGGCCGCCAGGTCTTGCTGTGCTTCCTCGGCGGACATGTACTCCCTTGTCCTGGCAGATGCAGGGGCTTGAGGTTGCGGCGGTGGAGGTGGCGGTGGATGGTGAGGTGATGCCAGCGGTCCGTGGTTGTGACTCTGGCTGGCAAAGAGGGCATGTCCACTTGAATCCGGATGGCCAGACAGGCCCTGACCAAATACATCTGAAATCGGCGGCAGTCTATTGTTTGTTTGCTTGGCAGGCACATGGTGGATGTGCGATGTGCTGGCGAGATTCGAACTATGGTTCATGAGGTGACGGGTCAAGGGGTGAGGGTTCTGTCTGCCAGGGAACGACTGGCCAAGGGGCGCAGACTGGATAACCCTTTCGTTGGCGAACTGCTCGTGGGAGGGAGCGACGATGCTCAATCCTGGCGGAGGGCCACGCTTCCGTGCTAGGCCTGGTGTCTTTGCAGCGAAGTGTCCTCCATCCTTATCCCTATCTGGAATTTCGGGGGCCTTGAAGCCGGCCGACTGTTGTTGTAACCTGGACTCGATGATCCGCTTCTGCTGCTCCTTCACACTCATACTGCGATGTACTTGCTCCTTCATGAGCGGGTCGTGGGTAACAAAGCCGGGCGATAAACAAGCGATACCGACTTCCTTGATACCAAGTCCACTGGTGTCACGGGCAGTGAGTGGTCGCGCAGAACCCGGAACGCCGTTGTTGGTGCTTGTGTTCTTGGATAGATCCAGTCTGCTGGGTCGATGCCTGGCAGTGGGGGGTGGTGGTGGGGGTGGTGGTTGTTGTTGGACGTCGGGCGAGCCTGGTTCCTTCTTGACAATGATCCTGGGCGCCGAGCCACCAGCGCTGCGGGAACTGTATTATCGAAGACGATGGACTGATTAGTGACTGCTCGGTAGCAATAGCGAAAGACGAAGATCGAGACGAGAGATGGAAAGAGAAAAGGAAGAGGACAGACATGGACAATGAAAAAAAGGAGATTACTTACGCGCTGGGTGGAGAGGATTTGTGTGCAGCGGGTGTCGCACCCACAGCTCGGGGGCTGCCACTACCTGACCGGGGAGCTGGCGCATTCGGGTTCGAAGAGGATGGGGGCGGCGGTGGTGGTACAGCGGCCGTTCGTTGCGCGCTGGGCGACGATGTGGAAGCGGGCGCAGCAGTGTTAGCAGAGACGTCGGAGCCGTAGTTGGGCCTGTCGTGAGGAGCCGGAGACGCGGCCATGGCAATGGCGGTGCTCATGGTCGACTTGGACACTGTTGGAGGTTGTGGAAATCAGGAGAGCGTGATGGGGAAGAAAAGTAAAGATTGGAGCGACACGGAGCGAGTGGTTGGCTTTGGGATGAGTGGTTGAATATCCCTGGGAATGCTCTGCAAATCCGGGGGGGTGTTGGGTCGGCAGGAAATTGATTGAAAAGAGGCGAACAGCTGTGCCTTGAAGCGCGGCGGACGGGATTAATTGGGGGATGGGGGGATTGGAAATCGACGTCGGATGGATCGCAGCAACGTGCGTGTCCCACGTCCCAAACCAGGTTGGTCGCAGGTGAGCAGCCCCCCTGGGACAAGGTATAGTCGGACTAGTTGTTAGGTACCGAGCCTGGGTTGGTACTGGTGTGCCGCCGGCCTATCAATCGCGACGCTGGCTGACGTCTCGACGCACTTGGGCACTCCTTTTCTCCAGGGCCCCTCTCTGCTGTGTTGTTCCTGCCCCTAGTGTGTGTGAGGCGATGCAGAAAATGCAGATAAACCCGAGGATGGTGATGGTGCGGGTTCGAGACCGCAGGGAAATGGACTTGGTGGAGGTGAGAGTGGAAAGCGGAAGACGGCAAACGAGATCCCGAACGGATTCCTCAGGATATTACTTGCCGGGTGACGAGCGGAAGCTAAGGTATGTCAACTGTTTTGCGACTCCTCAGAACCTTGCCAAGCTTGTATGTGTCTTTCAATATTTCGGTCTTGCTGCTTGCGCACTGCAACGACCTAATCCGAGTGCCGGGCGCTTCCAGACTGGCTGAGACAACAGTGCGGATCCCAAACAATTGCTTCTGCTTGCTTGGGTTGACCTGGGAATCAAGACCGATCCAGCCGCTTGACTCGCTGCAGATGTCTCGAAACAAATTCGGGTTCTGGTAGGTGTCTGTCTGAATGGTTTGTCTCTTGGGCACAGTTTGTTGTGGCGGTGGTGGTGGTGGTGGTGGTTGCCGGTGGTGGTTGCCAGTGATGGTGGCAGATAGTGTGGAAGTGGAAGTGGGTTGCGCCGCCAGTGTCAAATGCGTGCCGGAAATGTGACTGATGCGTCCGGGTGCTGAAGTGTTTCGCTGGGTTTGTTGCGGATGTCTGTGGGTTCGCGATGCACCTTCCTCTTTTCGGCAGACTCGTCCGTCGTAATAGGAAAGTGTCGCTGTCGGCCTCAAAACCTTACGAACGGGCAGTTGCTGGATTCGCTGAAGTCGCTGCCTCCAGGCTTGCAACCGATGGCTCGTATTGGCTGGAATTTCCCCTCCGAGATGGAGAGATAAGTACGACTCTGTGAAAAAGAAGTTGATCAACAATTTGTCCCTTTCTCTTTTTTTTCGCCTTTCGATGATTACCCCTATTCGGCCATTTATTGAGGAAGAAAACAAACGCTATCAAGTACCCTAAAGTGGAAACTGGTCCGGTGGATTGCCCTTTGGTACACGCCGAATATGCGCGGTCGCGACAAGGTGCTTTCTGTCGCCTGTCGGAGCTCGGTCGTCGGAGATGCCGGATGCGCCACGCCGCAAGCAACCCAAAAATGGGACACAACTGAAGGGCAAAACGTGGAGTGCTAGAAGATAGGTAGGAGAGTCGACTACGCGCGAGGAATGGGAGCCAGAACCAGGGACGGGCAAGAGGAAATTATGTTCTTCTTATGGGAAGCAGACGTAACGAGCTCCAGGTTGTTAGGAAAGTTAGTCCCTCCCCTCACTTTGTTTGGGCTGTAGGTAGGGGTCCCCGCCGATTATGAAAGGGGACGACCCAGCGATAATGATGCAAGTTGTGTATGAGGTTTGTGGCTACATGGATCCAGCCCTGGTACCTACCATGTTGGGTCACATCTTTGTCCCCCATGATCCAGTGGTCCAGCGTTTGATGTTCAACGTTGTCGCGGATCATGGGTTGGAGATCTTGCAAGTGCCAATCCGTACCTGGAAGATACAGCAGAGGCGATGGCGGGAGGTCTGGCAGGTTGCTGGCTCATACACTACAGCATGTCAAATAGGCGTCCAATCAGTTTACAAGTACCTGCTTGAAAATGCACCAGAGCTGCGCAGCTGTCTCGGCCTCCATTAGCCTGTTGCTCACACTGGCTGTTGCGATGGTCGCGAGAAGCTGTGCCTTTTGAACATCGAGTCTCTGAAAAGGTACATATCTTCCACGAGGATCATCTGCGCATAATCTGGCGTCGATCCACGCGGCTCTCACGGCCCTTCCATCTGACAGACAGTCCCCAACTTCCCCAGAAGCATGTCGAAAATTCGTGAGTTGAATGGCTGACGATAGTACTTGACAACTGAGTCCCCGGTCGGTACATTACTTTTCGCGTTGAAATCTAGCGTGATGGGGAAAGGGGGAGGGGGGCTGCAGGGGTCGTCTTGAGATTTGGACTGTCCTTGTCGCTGATTGGATTCTGGATTTCTCCCCCACCATCACCTGCTTCCATTCTCTCACAACGCAGCCTGGCCGACCAGCCAACCCGATTCACCTGAAACTCGTCAACGATAGAGAGAGGACGGCCAAGGAGGGGCACATCGTCACCTAAACATCCGGTCCGAGCTCGCCTATGCCCAAAGTGCCATCGAATGAATCAAACATCACCCAACCCACACGACGAACACGAAGGCAGCTCTCTCTGTCATCTGAAAAAGCTGGTATCAAGGATTCGAGCTGCTCGTCCTCAACTCATCATGGAACATTTCCCGGCCAAGTATCGCCCCCATGACTTATCAAGTCAGACTCGAGTAAACTTGCCCCCACGAACAGAAGATACACATAGATTATTGTACATACTACACTACATATCTTGAAGCATGCGGAGACAAGTGCGTTGACACGTACATGTAACTGCACGACGTACGTACTGTAAGTGGACACCTCGCCCATGAAACTCGCAATCTGCGACAGTAAAAGAATTTCCATCTCGGACGTCTGGATCGCTCGGTTAGGTGGATCTCGGGCACTTCCATACCTACGGAGGGGTCACATTTCACATTTCTCACCCGTCCAACGTCTTGTTTGGTCCGGGCTTTTACTACGGTGATACATTTGATGCTTGGTCCATGTTCGAGCGGTCAAAGAGTCATCCTGTTCTGCCCATTCTTTTGTCCTCATGCTGCTCATGATAAGTCTGAGACTACTCCCAATGAGTTGCTACAACATGTAGTTCGTCCATCTGAGACGGCCTCCAGCTGCTTCAGGCCAGAGGAAAAGGGCATGGAACGACGAAGAGAGTATAGACGCTACTCTCGCTAGCGTCCCGCAAGAATCGAAAACTCTCAACGAGTATCCCAGTCTTTGGATATCTTTCTGCCACTACTACGGTATGAAACGGCCACAAACGTCGGCCCAATGGAATCCCTCCCTTGGCGGCCCCGAGGCCCCGGAACAATTAACGCCGGCAACAGTCTGTGCATCAAATAATGAATGTCGTGCAGCAAGCCGTCGACCATCATATCACAAAGCCCTTAGCCTGGTCTGGGCAGACCGTTGAACGACTGGACAGCAGACTCATACAATTACCGTTATCCTCGGCCAAGGTCACACCAGCCAATCTATAACAAATGAGATAATCCAGGGATTCACGACCGCGCCGAGCTCGCCTTGACGGACCTCGTTGCCATTTATAACTCTACTCACTGGAACACATTGGCTAGCCTGGATCAGATGGTTCGCATGGTGATGATGAGAAGGAATCTGCACAGGATGCAACCCACTGGCACAGCACCCATTCAGTCGGTGTTAGGTAGTCACAAAAAAAAAGAAAAAATTCTTCTTCAAATCAGAGATACATATGACGTTGCTATGGCGAGGTTCATATCACTTGAACATTGCTTGCTGGTTTTTGTTTGTATCTATCGCGGATACGGAGACGTTTCGTTCACTATTGCCCACCATCCATATAAAAGGCTCCCCCCCCCCCCCCCCCCC